ATAAGTATGAATTATATTAAAAGTGTAAAAATGTAATTTAATTTAATTTTTAAGTACAAAAATGAATGCATATTATAATATTGTTATGTTTTTTAATTTTTTTTCTAAAAATATTAGCTTACCTATCTTGTAAAGTTCTTGATTTATTTTTTTTATAAAATATTCGATGTTTGTCATTCTTATGTTTCTTAATGACTCATCTCATTTTTTTTTTAACTGCAGTGTTAGAAATGTACATTTTGTTGACGGTCGGTAGGTCATTATTGCATAATATTTTTGTCTCAAACTAATGACCAACATAATATACCCGAGTTGCTGGATTATTTTGTTTCATTACTAATTTTACTTAAATTATACATTTTCGATTACGATATTAATTTATAAACACACTTATTGAAAGCCATTTAGAACATAATATATAAGCCCTAATATTTTAGCAATTTTTAAACGGATTATTATCTATGTGTATACTATATTCTTCACATACATACTTCATATTATTTAGTCACTATATATATTCTTTAAAGTAAATATTTGCGATACTAAATGCAGCAATATATGTATTTAACAGGCGCTTTTACTTTTATTTAATTTTTAATTTTATTCTATATGCATAAATTTACTTTGAATGGCTTTGTTCAGAATTAATGTTAGTCTTTGACTATTTTCAAATAAAAATATTAAAATTCGTTGTTCCTATCATGACAAATCTGTTATTTATAAATATTTAGATAACTCTATGTAATTTTTGTGCTCAGGTATTTAATATACAAGCTCTTTCTGATATTTTTGCCCCCCTAAGTTATACAGATAAATATGCTGCCCCCCCCAAAACAAATTTCATATCTTAAAATTATATAGAGTCTTGTTTAACTTTAAAAATGATATTACAATTATTTTTAGTTATTGTTTAAAAAATGTTTTATATTATATTAACAATAAATCGCTATACATAAATATACAAGTAATTGTTATGATATTTTTTTTTAGACTTGATTTACGAGTATAAAGCAGCCATTGTTTTTTAAAAATTTTGCACACTTGGTTAGTGTGGTCCTATTAATATACATATATTATTTAGTTCTAAGTATTTACCTAAAGTTTACATTATATAATATATTTGCAAAGGTGGGCAAATTAATGAAAATAATTAACTCGAGTTAAGTGAAGTTAAGAGAACACAATATCAATAACTTAAAAGTTAACAGTTAAAAATTCATAAATTTAACTTGATAAGTTTTATGTTAATAAGAAAAAAAATATTAACTCTGTTTAAAAAAAAAGTTAATCTATTTTTTAATTAGTAAGTAGATCACATAAAAAATGATTTCGTTATTTAGAAAGATTTATTTCCTAAATTATAATAAACAGTTCTATTAAATTTTTTATCATAATATACATAATATACACTGAAGTGCTGAAGTATTTGAAAAATACTATGACATTGTACAATGTACATCAAGCCACTCACTACCATATTTATTTATCTTTATAGTTATAATTCTTCATACGTAACATTCTGTATTCAGAACCCAATATCCAAAAGTGGGCCCCCAAACTATAAAATCATATATGACATCTGATTTTCATTGTATGCGACCATTTTACTTTACATGATTATTTAATTTTTGTATTAATATTTACGTATAAACGAAAAATTTAAAAAAAAATTTAACTTGATAGAACCTTTTTAAATCAACTATAAGAAGTTAAGTTATTTCAACTACCAGTTAATCTAGTTAAGTTAAAAAGTTTATTAGAAAATAAACTAACTAGTTAAGTTAAAAAGTCAAAAAAATTAACTTTTTAACTTAATTTTAGCTTTTTAACTAGTTAATGTCCAACTTTGTATATTTGTATAGCAGAATATGTGATTCAATTATATGCTAATAATAGTATGTAATAAATAATAAAAAGTGCTTATGTTATAAAACATAACTTTATTTATTTTTTTTACTAAAATGTAATATAAATTAATAATTTATAAAGCATAGTCTAGGTATCTAGATGTCTAGCATATACCTAAATAATTTTACTGAAAATGAGTACATCATATTAAATATTAAAGTTAAAAAATAGAAAAATGTAAAAGAAATAATTTTGTTCATCGTTGTATTATTTATAAATTAGTTCTACAAAAGATCAGATAAAATATATATTTTGATATACAATAAAATTTGATCTTATAAGTAATTTCTTTAGAATTAAAATGAATATTTGTACGACCATGATGAACTTTAAAATATAAATATATACAATATACTTCATTCCAGCAAACCTAAAATACTGTTTATATTTTACATTAATATTTAACTACTAAATAACTGATATTTTACAATTCATATTTTTAGAATAAAGCACCAATTATAAATTAGTTAAATTTGTAAAATATTACCGAATTAAAATAAAATATAAAATAACAACAATAATAGTAATTACATTGGTTATAAAATATATATTATACTTATACTTATAATTGCCTCGGAATAATGAATGGATTATTTCCGTACTCGTTAGGTTTTTTGTTAAATAAAGGTTCATTTGTAAAACCGTTTCCTACAAATTCTTGTCGATCAATAAATTCCTGAAAATGTCATTCATATTAAAAACAAATGTTAATTAAAAAGTTAATAGTCAACGAACTTATTTTCAACTTGTCCACTGTAATTAAATACAGTCAGAACAGTTATGTTATGTTCCTTATAATTGTTGAATATTAAATATTATACGTTAAATTATATTGCACTATTGTAAATAGCCATTCTGTTAGTATTAGCAATTATAAATCAATAACGTATAATAGTTGATTTATAATTATTAATTATGGAACTTTTAGTTTTTCACTTAAGACTTAAACTTAACAGTTTGGTATTTAATTTAATTTTATTTTGAAAAGATGTATTAAAAAAAATTATCTATGAAACTTCAGATAAAGATAAATATACTAATTTTTTTAATAAAATAAAATAAATATGTTTCTTACAACTTTGGCACCATGTTAATTCATTATTATGTTTATGCGGCATAAATACCGATTAAATAGTTTGCATGATTTGGTTAGTATAATATTGATATTGAACTTACTTTAAGATTAATTAGAATTATATGTGTATGATTACTAAAATTCGTATACAAACAGTTCTTAAGGATAAGTTATGTACATTGAGAAGCTAATTTTGTGAATTTTGGTGAATATACGATGTGCTAAAATACTGTTTTCGAGAAAATTGCGATAAAATACTGAAATGTATGATAATTTTTTTCAATCTGTAACAATTTGAAAAATATCTTGATGTAAGGTTTGAAATGTCGTGTTATTACTTATCGTCATTTTACATCTTGAACATTTTCGAAACGTTTTATAATTCATTGCCAACGTGTACTATCCGTTTCATTATGATTATTTTACTATCGAAATCGTTAATAATAGCCTTATAATAATATTAATATGTGTATATCATGCACTTACAATTTGTAGTTCTTACATTTTTGTTGGAAACTTGACCATATATACCGGGCCTTAGACCAGGTCTGTTACCACCTGGACCTATCAAAACGGATGGTACAGGTTCGCTACGGTCTCCTCCGTATTTATCAATCTCTTGGCTTCCTGAATTTGCACCATCGAAGTCGTTGTAACAACAATATTGTTTTCCTTCATCACAGCTTCCCTGTAATGAATGAATGATTTATGTTCATATAAAGTATCTTTAACTTTACCGTATTAATGGTTTTATAGGAATTTATTTTCTTTTTAACTTTTCCTCTCTCTCTCTTTCTTCCTTTCGTTTTAATTTGGAAAAAATAAAATCACATTGCACATTTAAAGTATTGTGCATTGCATATATTAATATTATGTTTATTAAAAAAAAATATTTAGACTTTTCGGATTCCTAATTCATTATTTTAAAGGCAACATTAAGGAGTTTGTTATAATCCAATTTGTACGTGAAATACTGCGTGTGTATGTGTGGTATATTCTTACTTTATGGTGTGGTCACCGTAAATTCTAGGTCCCTATACAAAGTGTAAGTTACGTAATGAGATTGTTTAAGTCTCGTAGGACGAATAAAAAGTTTAGATAATCACAAATGTGTGGTGTGTAGAAACCACATATAGTATTATGTTATAATTATTTTGACAATATCATTTATTGTAAAAATAATTTTAAACCAAATTTACTTTGACGAACACTTGATTCACCTAAACAGCAGTAGAATCAGAAAAAATTAATGAAACAATAATTATATTCAAAGAAATTTAATGCGATACCTATATACTACGAATGAATAATTATTAAAAATAAGTCTTTCGTTTTTTATTATTTATAATAATATTATTATTATAATTATTAACTACTATTGTTATACAGAAAGAGATAAATGTATTGAAGTTAAATAATGAAATATAACTTTGTGTGTTTGTAGTTCGTTTATATCATGCTAAAAGGAAAGTTTATATTATTCAATTAAAAATATTGAAATAGTAATATATATTAATTTTAATTTATTCGATTTTAATAATTTTATGTAAAATATTATAAATTATTCAATATTTTAACTCTACCAAATTGTATTTGTGTACTGATTTGTTAAATTATATAATTGTTATATTATATTTTTCTTAAACCAGAAAGTTAAATTAATTAAATTATTAGGTTTGTAATATCATAGAAAACACTAACAATGTCGTGTTACATAAAATTGCACAATTAACATCTTAGATTTGATATTAATCTTAATATTGTTTTCTTGATTAAGTAGTATTGAAAAAATATATTACCAATAAAGGGGGTAGATCCAAAGTTGAATGAAATTATACGGAAAAAATATAATATTTTCTCTATTTATTCGATCAGCAGTGTGTACCATATGTTTTGTATTTTTTTACTAACATCAATTACGTCTATTTGATATCAATAAGATGATAAACTATATAAACATGTATATTTTACCAATAATTATTGTCTTAATTGCTACCAGTTTTGTTACTACATCAAATTTAATATATTGGATATCCTAGGGATTATATTATACTGTGGCGAAATTCAATTAACCGTTAAATACCTGTCTGAAAGCTTATGAACATCAGACTTAAAATCATATTTTGATGATGAAATCGGTTTACAAGCGGTAAAATAGAATAAAAATACTTCTTACGTAATGTTCGATGATTAATTTACTTCGCTGTCCTACTCCTTATTCTACCGGTGCTTATGTATTGTATACGATTTAATATGATTTGATACTTAGGTCTTAAGAGTCTATTAAATTTGATTGAACAATTATAGGAGGTACCATGCTTTCCCTACAACAATAATGAAGATAAAATGATCAATTGAAAAAGCTATTCTACCGCTGTATTAAATGTGTACTTCTCGAATAGTGTTCGGAGATATTCTCGTTTTTTATTCACGTACAACTCGAAGATATAAAAATAAACGGAAATAAGAGTGATTGAAAATGAACGGATATTGAACGCGTAGGTACCATCCGGTCAAAGTTATCAGTTTTTATTATTCATTTAGTTTTTTTTTCCACTAAAATTCATAGCATATCGTGCGTAAACTGCGCATTACTTAGCTCCGATCTGATTTGATTTAGTACGGATATACTTACAAATTTGATGCCGGGAGACTTGCAGTTGAACGAGAACGAGCATTTGCATTTTTCGAAATTCGTCGGATCGCCGTTCTTGTGCACCGCCGGCCTTTGCCACGACGGCACCGGACCGGTGAGTATGCCGACGGCTGAGCCCGCCGGTTCGGTGGCCACGGGCACGGGTTTCCTGGACGGCGCGTGCACAGAATCGACCAGACCAGACGGCGGCCGCTGCGGCCGCGACGGACTCGCGAAGTTGGGCACGGGCCTTTGCTGTAACAGCAACTGCGTGGTGGGCGGTGGCCTGTCGTATGGCCGGTTCACGTAGGTCTCGGGCGCACGATTCGGCTGCTGAATCATGGGCTCCCTGTCTGGTACGTAATCCTCGTTGACTTCGTACCGTCCGTCCCGTATGGACTCGTCCCTGTCGTTATTATACATTACATTCATGAGTTTGGACTAATGTGTTGTTTTTTTTTTTAATCATCGTTACGACCACTGCCACAATACGATAGATCAGCAGTTCTTAACTTTTTGTAGATCATGGACCCCCGATAAAAGATTTTTAGAAATTGTGGACCCCTTTACCAATTATTTTTTACAAAACATCTCATGTTATTAAAACTAAAATTATAATAATTATTTTATATAATAAATTAAAATAGTAGAAAAAAACATACATATTTATAATTATCTTTTTACACTTAATTCACTCATGTCACGTATGTTGTGTTAAGGCTACCACGGATCCCTAGAGGGCCACGGACCACAGTTTAAGAACTGTTGTGATAAATCACTTATACTGAAACGATCTTATCTACGAGGTGATACAGGCTCACACCGTACATTGTGAACGGGTAGAGAATGAATTTATCGTTTTAACATTATCCTATCGATGTTCTATCGAAATTGGTTTTTCGACCGCAAAGTTTTAATTATATATCAATAGCGCTAACATTTTATTTATTCATGATGATTTCAGAAAACAATTGTTGATATGTATTAAGCTATGAGCTATAAAAAATGATTAAGAAATTATTGGGAAAAAGTAGGCGATTCTAAATGCTTCTTCGGTATAATATGAACGTAATTGGTGGGTGGAATTGCAAGCAGTACTTACTAGTTTTTTGAACATTTCCACTGGGATATAAAAGTTTATCATCACCTTTTAGATAAGAAATATTGGTCATTTAATCGACTTCAACATTTATACATAATAAAGATAAAAAGTCGGATATCTTGTATTTTGATATACAAATCGTTTCAACTACCGGATGAGTAAAAAATATATTTCCCTATCCACTTCCTGGAAATTTGACGTTATTTTTTAGTGAGTTGGTTATTTAATCTATTCATACTTCTCGAATACAATTTGAATCTAATTTACAACTTAAGACGATGTTGACTACTTCATAATATGGTAAAAGAGCATAGAAAACAAATCGGAACATCATTAAGGTAGGTACATTGGGTTTGCTTCAGAATTTCCCAATACATAACTCATATCATCTGAACATAAATACGTAAGTTTAATCACGTACGCTTGTCGCGTATACACATCCATCATAATTCAAAATGATAGCATTAAGAAAAAATAATTTTCTACGCTAACCAAGATATTTCAGTTTGCATATATCGTAATAGTGTTATACGGTTTTAAAGTTTTGATCAATCAAATTGTTTCAGCTTTCGGAAATCGTTAAGATTTTACCACAACGAATAATTTTGCTCTCCTCGCACGCATTGCATCCCTGCAGACTCATCAATTAATTCCACCGAAAGAATAATAATCGCACTGATGTAGTCTTCTAAAAGTGCGAAAATTATAGTACTATCGTATAAAAATTTCAAATGCCGACGGTTATTGTTTAGCCGTGTTATTTTCAAAATATCGTTATTCTTGTTTACAACTTTTAAATCTCATCCGCACCGTCTCGCGTAATAGTTTTTCAACTTTTGCCATCTATCGGTATAGCTTGATATTATATTATATCCAAATAAAATGTATGACGCATTTACACTTCGCATAGTACGAACGACCATCGAGACCGGTACGTAAGCGCATGTCCTCGAACGAACGATGACGCAACGGTCAATAATGATTACGGTACACGGAACCGCATCGCTCGCGGATTCCTTTGAGATCGCGTTAAAACGTTAGAACTGCACACTGTGATCTGTCAATTTTTTTTTTATTTACTTCACGTTGAGAAAACCCGGTGAAAAACATCACCATGACGCCGTACACACCCGTATTGTTGCGATTAATTTGCGAATCAACAGAATCCCTAAAGCTTAAAAGGGATAAGTGAAAAAAAGGCTAGTGACCCTCGTCGTTGTTTACCTGTAACGTTTGGTGTCCAATCGTGGGTTACTCGCCGGCTGGAAAAGCAGGTTGGGCTTTTGATTGTTCTGGTCGCGCAACAATGGCTTTGCTACTCGCGTTACCTCTTCGGACGCAGCGTCGACCCTCGAGTCGGCTCGCATTTGTTCGTTGGACCTGCCCCATACCCATTTGTCGTCGTCCGCTGAGACGACACCGATCAGCGCCACCGTCAGCAACGCTGCGGACAGCAGCACGATAACTTCTGAAACAATCAAACGGGCCCAAACATCAAGAATTTATACTAAAAAGTCAGACGTCGAATTTGTAAAAAAAAATAATAGTTTTTCAGCCTGCAAACCCGTCATTTAATATTTATTCATCATCGTGTGTGCACGTTATAGTTAAGCGTAAAAAACATACTCATACATATATATGCGTTGGAATGCTTAATGTGCGCAACGTAAACGAACGCGTTTTATCACTTTCAATTACAAATACATTTAATCGGTGATATGTGTGTCGGATTTTAATCTAAAACCACTAACTAGCCGTTCTCAAAAGAGGAATAAACGTTATTAATGTAGGCTTGATGCCGATACCGGTTAATAGGACAACCGTTTGATCTGGTTCTTCAACTACCGTAATAAATCGATGATTTTTTTGTAAATATTCACTGCTTATTTGGGCCATCTCGAATTTTTTTTTTCTTGGGAATATTATAACAATTATTGTGATAATAATTCGACAATATTGGTCAACATTAGATGTTTTCATCGAATGATTACAGCCTTTCGAGGGAATGAGTTGGACTAAACAAAAAAGTGTATATTGCCTCGTTTACTCATTCTATGAACTTTTTGAAAAACCTCGCACTTGAATTTTCACCTCCCAAACGTCACTGATTCAGCCTTTGAATATGTACAGGTTAACAATCGTTTTTTATGCATTGATAAATCAGTAACTAACCCCCAAAAAAACGTGATGTTCTTGGTCGTTTCTTATTATTGGAATAAAATAACATATGTCCCAACAAAGCAATGTCCACCGTGCATCGATTCGTAGTGTAAATTCCGGAAAAGAGTTATATTTCACGCAATTCTTTGCCACGTGATTAACTAACAACAATAGCGTAAAGACTTAATGCAATTTTCAGAATCCTAACGCGATTTACCGCCGGCGTAATTGGAAAGACATTGTAACGCGCGAGTATGAGACAACATCGAGATGTTCCGTAAATTACGTTATCCCTTTGTGGTTCTCCTAACACGATAAAATATAATTCACGGCTTTTCATAACATGCTCTGCCAGCGGAGTAGACAACATACCCACAATCTTTTTTCTTAATCTTCCAAAAAACGGAAAACTCTACCTACTCAAGATCTTTAATATCATATTTGGATAGAAAACCAGTACCCAACAACATGGCTAACCGCTATAATCAAACCGATCCATAAATCCAATAAACCTAAAAACCTTGTATCCAGTGGCGCGTTTAATACATACGCGCCCCGGGGCAAAATAATTTTTCCGTCCTTCTCCCTTGCCAAAATATATATATATATATATATATAAATAAATTCAAAGTTAAGCAATAAAAAAATTAATTTTACAAAATAAATTATAAATCAGTTGTTTTGCGATATTGTATTAGATAATTGTATAGTAATACATATCCTTACGTTAACCTATTTTTTTTTTCAGTGAATATTCCTTTCTTAAAAATATATATATAAATATTAAATTTAGAAAACAGAATTTATATTTATTATATGCACAATGATTAATAATACATGATTTTTTATTAGATTAAATATATTATATTTATTATTAATTATATATAATAAAATAATCGATAGCTTATAATTTTTTTCTTGACTTTTGAGAAGAAAAATGTTCAATAATATCATTAAAATTAATAGTTTTCGTTAAATCAGCTTCAATGTTGAGGGTTGTTAATTAAGATGATTTTCTCTCGTTGTTGATCTTAAATAAGTTTTGGTCCTTTTTAATGTAGAAAATTATTTTTCCGTTGAACAATTACTTGAAGGTGTACACACACACACACACACACACACACACACACACACACACACACACATATATATATATATATATATATATATATATATATTAGCATCCTTAGAGCAATATCAATATAAGGATATACTTCAACAAATCTTTTCACTTTTATAGATGCTAACATACATTGAACACTTTTAGGTACAATTTTACTCCTATTGTAAAATTTTTAAATGTGCCCTAAAGTGAATACCACGTTCTGTGTACCTGAGTCTTTATTATAAACATTGATAGAAAATATAATATTGAATAATAAATGCAATATACCTATTTTGCTATTTCACTATTACCTAGGTGACTAGGTATAGTATAATTTTTTTAATTTTTTATTAAATGCTCAACAATATTTTTTTAAAATACTAAACAATACCGAAAAAGGTGTGAAAATTAAAAAAATCATAAACACATCAATAATAAAAGTTAGAATATTTTGCAGCTCTCAAAAATTTGCCGCCCGGGGCATTTGCCCCTTTCGCCCCCCCTTAAATGCGCCACTGCTTGTATCTAGTTACCGTCCTATATCCATTATATGTTCCATGACAAAACTACTAGAAAGAATATGGAGGATAGATCTCCCCATGAGCTGTATTTATATATTGTCTTAAACCTACAAATAGCTCAAATACAAACTTATAAATTATTAAGAAACTAAAAAAAAACCCGGTTATAAATATTTATCCATAAGCGATTATTCTCGCAAGGAATGCTGAATGGACTCTGTCGGATCGGTAAATGTATGAACGGAATGGAAACGTTCAAATTTCAATTAGGTACCTAAATTAAAACACATAATAAAATATTTTGCGGGACGGAGCGGTATCTGTCGGCACGTGTCAGACTAGTATGAATCATGCTTAATACTTGTAATTTGAGAGCACAAATTATTTTTCTATGTAAAGTAAAAATTTAGGCTTGTAGCCGTTGGGGTGCTTGAGGCCATTGTATTTTTATTTGACCTGAGTAAAATGTTAGAATTTCGGCGTCACTGACTTAACCTTATTGCGGTATCTATTGGTAATAGTATTCAATACAGCCTAGAGCAAGATGATTAAAAATATTTTGTTAAGTTCGTTCAGCATGTTAAACTTTTATATGATTTTAAGATTATAAACTAATAAATACTTAAATACTTTTAAAAGCCATAAAATAAATATAAATAATTTATTAATTTTTATTAACATAAATTTAATTTAACATGAAAAAATTAAACCTCTGCTCCGCAGAAAAATAAAAATATTTCATCGATTAAAGCAATCTCCTGTAATTCTATTATTATAGTTATAACATTGGTGTTACAAATCATTGCTCGTTATAGGCCGTGAACGTTTCGTAATAGTTGATGATACGTATACCATTGCAATAAAACAATGGCAAACAACAATGTCCCAAAAATGTAGGTTGCCTGGAAAGATGTTCCATTTCTTAGTAAATGTGGCATTATTTAATTATTCATCCATCACGAATAATTATGAAATACGATAGAAATGAATGATTTTTCGAAATATCTGTCTACTTATTATTTATGAGATCATAGAGTATAAATATCATTATTTATTACTACACAATATATATAATTACATAATCGGACATAAATTTAAAAGTTATTTGTTTATATAAGTAAGGCAAATGTTAAAGTATAGTGTAACGATAAGATTCTATCCAACATTTGTTCTTAGAAATTAAAAAAAAAAAAAAAAAACTTTGATCAAAATGTGATTACAATATACAAAAACTTAATTTGTGAGCTATGGATTTAAAAATTGTTTTGATTATTGAACACCATATAACCGTATATGAGTTACGATTACATGATTTTTATTTGTTTTTATATTTTTCGTCTAAACAACACGAGTTAAAAAAAAAAAAACGTATTTTATCCTTTCCAATTACATTGATTTTCGTTAATTTGAGGTGTTTACCGATTCGGATGATTTCAATAAAACATTTTAATTAAAAAAAATTAAATAAATAAATATTTGTACCATAAAACCATAACGTGTTACAAAAACAAGCGCATACAAATAGTGAGTTTTAGATTAAAAGAAGGCGTAGCGACCTACTGTTGTGTATTGTTTATATTGACAAGAAGAATGACTCGAGCAGAACGATTATTTGAATACTATTCTGTGCGTTTCGAAATATAAATATAAAATGTATTTCCGTTTTGTTATTTAAATAAATTGTCAGTAGGCTTGAAGGAAAACCACTAACGACTCGTTTATGTACTGATCGGCCAAAAAGCGAAAACCCACCATTAATTTTTTTCTCGTTTACGGTTTGAGAATTGACTCTTTTTCATTTTTATTTATTTTTTTTTTTTTTTTTTTTTTTTTATCACTATGACTTAGGTACTCTATTCATTCATGAATAATACGTTTAACTGGCATAAAAATGTATTATTATTTTCTGAACACTTTTACATCGTTCGATTGAAACTCAGAAGTTTTAAAATTATAAAAAAAAATCTAAACGAATATTATGCTATTGTGATCGAATCGAGTTGCATATTTTTCCAAAGTTGATAATAATTCATTTTTTTTTTTTTTTTTTTACGAAGTAAACTCTTCTTTAGAGCGAAGCAGTGACGTTGCTAGAATTTTTTATGATGGATATATCATAAAAGCCTTAACAATATGCGATATATATATATATATTATAATGAGTATTATAATATATATATATATATATATTATAATGAGTATTATATTTTATAGTCTCGCAGTTACATTCAAATCAGGTTCGTTGATAAATGCACAGTTTGAATGTTAAAACGTATCAACGACACAAAAATATCGCTAAGCGTTCGGTTTTGTATTATGTGTAGCCTTGACACCTGTCGGTATTTAACGAAATTTTAAGTTTCCACATGTTACACATTTGGCGATTGGGGTTGGAGTAATTGTAGTGGACCTGTTATAATGTTACGACGTCTGCTGACAGTCAGGAATGTGTCGTAACTTTGAGTTTGAATTTTAAATTTCGGTTCTCGTACAGATTATCGGATCTGATCGATGATATCGACGAAATTATGTTTACGACGGGCAATGTGCTGCATCAGCAACCGAATCCGTCCGAGTCGTCGAACAACCACTTAGTAACAACCACTTGGTCGCGAACAAGTCGACGATCGGGAATACCGACGTGGTTGATGCGCTTGCACCGACAGTTCGTCCGTACGGTCTCGGTTTTTCGGCCGCTTAAGGTTGCGTGTTCGCGCTACGACGGCCGCCCAATGGGTTTTTCCACGTTCACCTTGACACCGAATCGCCGATCGCGATCACAACACGCCCGGTTACGACTGTTACGTACCGTCAACACCGCACGTCTGTTTCGCGGACCGCCGCGAACCAGTAAGTCACCGGACGCGTGTCCCACGCGGCCCAGCGGATGGCGCTGGTTTTAGCGCGGGAACACGCGAGACCCGACCTTGCCGGACAATCCGATTCCGGTGTCCTCGACGGTTCAAGTACGGCCGTGTGATGCCCACCGTCTCTAACATTCCGGACGGTCATCGCGTGCCGTTTTGTTGCGCGTACTTGCACAGTTGACCGGTCGGTTCGCACGACAGGTGCATGGACTGTTCCTATTTGTTGTTTTTTTTTTTCTTATATAAATTCGATTTTTTCAAACTTAGCGAACACAGATCATCAGAAAACGTCGGAGAAGTTTTACTGTTTCAGATTAGTCTTACGTTGATGCTAACGGTTTAACGGCAAGAGCGAACCCACTTATTGAACAGGATGAAATATATCTTAGAAATGAAAAATGTATAAGTTCAGCTCAAAAAGTTCCGAAAAATCTCTTCTATTGCCCATCATATCTAACCTCCGTGACAAATTTCAAGATCATACGTTTTATCGTTTTCGGGGTGTAGCGATCAATGATCGAGTGATTTGAAATTTTCAAATTTTAGATAGGTATATCTGAAAGTAAATGAAAGAGTTTTCAAAACTGCCGACGAGGTTCGTTATCTTGGAAGTAAGCGGATTGTTTCACGATTCGTTCGAGTCAATCGGTCAAAAATCAAAAAATTCTTATATGCCTCGATTGAATATGATTAAAAGTAAATTTTCTTATAAGATTAAATTAATTGTAAGCATGGTAGTGTTTTATCTTAAAATGTATTATTTAAAAAAAAAAAAAATTTAATTCTTCTTTTTTATGTTGAAATATCAATGGAAACTTTAGTATAGTGTCAATGATTTTTGGATTTTTGAAATATTAAAATCGAAATATATTGATATTATAAACCGTATTATTCATATATGATATATTTTATACTATATACCGGTTCATTTCAAATTAGATTTACGTTTTAGAATTTAATTTTTTGTTCATTGTATCGTATATTTGTGAACTATTTATTTGGAATAACGTTTAATTCCAATCTGATGTCCATATTATAAATATTTTACATATGATTTTTAGTTATAACTTGTAACTTTAAAATATATATCTCATAACTTATAAATATTAAAGTTATAATATTATTATTAACTATGATTGATAAAAAAAAAAAAACAGAGGTTTTGTTCATGTATAGTGACTATAATCTTTTTTAGAATTGTTCTTTAAATAATAAAATAAAAATGTACTTCATGCTGAACTTTTTTTGGATTCTTATGTGCTATAAAAATAGTGTAATTCTAAAAGTTAACTATCATGTGTGTACAAAAGTTACTCGTAAAAATTGTAACCACCCTTATCTAATATGTTATAAAATACAATTTTGTTATTATTATTTCTATATTTTATGATTTAGTATTATGGTGGTGATAAAATAACAATTAGCGCTTTAAAAAATATAGCAAGACTATCATTAATACTCTAAAAATTTTCGTTGTCTTGATATATTATTTTATTGACTGTTTTAGTTCATTAAAATTAAACATTTTACGATATTATTACTAGAATACATTTGATAAAGGTTAGCAATTTTGTGTTAGTGGGTAGATTTTTAATTGATTTACAAAAATGGATTTTTAATTATTAAGATTTATGATATAAATACGATATTACAGTCAAATGTGGGTAACTCAAACTTCTTCAACAACTTTTTCCCTAGTCCCAAGAAATGTCATGTAAATAAATCTTGTTTAAATCGAATATTTTAATAACTTGAAGTATCGAATTTTTATAAAACTATAATATTTCACTGTTGTATGTACATTTACAAAAAAAAAAGGCCATTAGTGTTAGATAAAGAAAAGCATAGATACATTTTAATGAATTTGAATCTTTAAAAAATAATGAAGCGATTCACTGAAAAAGCTGAGATAAAAAAAAAACTCAAACAAAAAGTAAAATAAAAATTTTATAATCTAATTTTTCTTTATATTTCTTTAAAATTATATATATATATATATATATATATTTATGTAAATTATAATAAATACTTGGTCACTAAAATATTGTATTGTTTAAAATAAAATACATATTTTGAATTTTATTTTGTCCCTTCAACTTCAAGTTAAGCAAGTTTAAACTGTATGTATACTCAGGTATACAGAATTTTATATAAGAATGAAAAATGCATGTTATTAAAAATGGTGTGATGAACTGTTTCATCAATTATTTTCTAAATATAATTAAAAAAATTATAACTTTTTTTTAATCAATTTGCTATTTAGTTTTGTTTACTTATTTTTTATTTTTGTATGCGTTTCTAACTACTTGAATTATAATTCTAACTCATTTAAATTGTTTAAAAAGATTTACTATATGTAGAGTATAGTTATTAGATGTACAGTCAAAATATATTTGATTTATTAAATTGTATATTTTTTATTTTTTTTTAAACTCAAGTTTGTTATTACAGATTATTTTTTCAGTTTTAAAAGTATGAAACAAATACATTTTTTAAACACATAACAATATTGCAGGTAGCGATTATTATTTTCATTAATAAGTTTTAAATCCTATTTTATGTGGATTATAAAACACTCAATAAAATTGGCATAAGTCGCTTATGAAAGGGTTTTAAGTAGAACCAGAGTTGAAGTTCAAGTATGATTGTTATTTATGATAGTATTCTCCTAACATTCTTATAATGTATTTGGAGTTATATTGCTTTTCTGTAGATACATCTGAGAATTTATAATAAGATTTAAAGAAAAACCAATCAAACACACGTGACAGAATAGATGCAGTAACAAATAAATAAATAAATAAAATAAAACGTTAAATCGATAAACTATTCCGTTCTATCCCTAGTCACATAGTAATATTATTATTATACCCATTAAAATTATTCTGTTGCGTGCGACCGACAATATGCGTTTCAATTCCGTTAGAAGGTCTGTACGAATAAGGAACACGTTAAACCGACAGATAAATTTCAACTGTAAAAACATAAGAAGAAATGTTCTTCGTTATGGTAACCGTCCGACACGAGAACGAGCGACGTACAATTCGAAAAACATAAAAAAACGGGAAAATAATTGTTGTGAATACCGATGAGATACATTTTATTGTTTACTCACTTGTCATAATATTTTTGATGTAGCGTTTTCGTTCCCGGCGCAGCAGCAGTCTATCTAGAACAATATTGGTGCACACTGTTTGACTTACATAAGATTAGTGAGCTCCGTTGGACGCGTATATTTTAGACATCACCGTCGTCGTAAAAAAGAGAGTGTTGGAACAAATTGTCTTGGCAGGTAGAAGGGGACGCATCGGTTAAAAAGTCACGTGGAAATGGTTTTCGTGCCACAATACCGCTGTTTTATTTTATTTTTTAATTATTTTTATATTTGTTTTGGTGGTGGAAATCGCCGAGATGCATTTGAATAATTTTAATGGCATTAACGCTTTTCGGTTCTGTCAGATGCACTTTGACCTTCGAAACTCGTGTCCAAAGGACGAGCGAATGACTGTTCGCCATTCTCTGCACACACCGCAATTGTGACATTGAGACGTTCACGGTAATCCGATCCGAAATGACGGTACTTATTTGTAATGAAAAGTCGTTTGAGAACCGATAGATAGTAATAATGGAATTGAGAAGATCGGGGAAAATATAAAGTTCTGTATTTACTAATAGTCATGCACCCAGCTGCAATGTTGAATCATGCAAATTGTAATCGGTCAAATCAGCATTGACGTTTTTTTCGAACGATCAACTGTATCAAAACTGATATGCCGTGTCTGCAATAACATAATCTTTTTTTATAAAAAAATTTTCTATTCGTTCATTGTATTTTATGTTAACGTTTTCTATTCGATTTTTACGGAAAAGAAAATGAAAAGTTCACGATGATGCACCCGTAGTGTATTGTATATAGCGCAACGATCCGTCAGCGTTTTTGACTAAATTCAATCGCTCGACAACCAATCATTAAACGTAAAATTCGTTCTGCGTGTTTTTATGGTATACCTACTGAAACGTTGATTTGAGAATATTGATTTTTTTTATTCCTTAAAAGTATAAAAAATGTTAGTAACATTTAAATATCAGTTGAAAATTCATACGTTAATGCATTCAATTTGAATTAAATACAGGGATAATAATTGATATGTAGTGAATAACACTGATATCTTATGAGCCGTTAGTGGATTCATTGGATTCACCGCCGGAGCCTGAAGTGTAATGCTGTAAACGTGTCGATTTTGTCCATAACATGCTGTGTATTCATTTTCATTGTACGTTTTTCGTTTGTGACTTGGTAAATATGCAAATATTGCATACCTGTTTTAGTGCCAATAGCGTGTTTAGTACAGTATAACAATAAAGCGTTTTAAATTTTAATTAGATAATCGGTTTTGGGTACTCGTAACATTAAAAAATATAACCAATTGTAAGCCAGACATTATGACATAATACACTATTTTCTGTAGATACGTATTATATATTTTATAACGAAAAATCTTTACGCAAGCAATATTCTTATACAGGTTAAGATTATTTAATATATTTTGATATTCTGTAACGTCGTGTTGATAAACATTCGAGGCTTATTCGTATGCATCGCGTGTGTCAAATGTATTTCGTTCAATAACATGCGACGATTAGAAAGATGTATTGTTTATTCCTATAAGTTTTAATTTTTTTATTATAAAATTTTTTTCTGTATTAAATTATTTTCATTTGACAAAGATTATCGATTATATTCTAATCGTGTTCACTGTTCTCCGACTTTTTCCAGAACTGGGATTACCAATTTCATTATAAATGTATTGTTTCTTATTGACATGTAATTATGTTTCTAATTTTAGTTTTATGCATAATTTAAAGAAGTTCAAATACACTATGTGTCGAGCCGCAAAATCTACAGGCAACATTTTATAGATGTTAAAAAAAAAGCGATCGTTATTATGAGCTCTGATGATTGTTTTATGATATAGGTACTGTCACTGCGTTTGTTCGGATAAGTATAATATCAATACCTAAGTCTAATATGATTTCTCGTGAGATCAGATTTTAGTTCCGGGTGGTATATTTTCAACTAGAAGGGAATTTTTCGATCATTTCGTTAAAAACTATTGTCGTGTTACGAGAAAAAAGATGGAGAAATGCGTTAAATACTTATGGCGTCATACGATCGTACACATCGTTGTGTTCAACGATACTCCGTGAATCTTAAAGATTCGAAACGAGTCCGATAATCGGAATACTAGAAATTAATTAACCGCAATCGCATTACCTACGTTAATGTATATCGGTCGGGGTTCACTGCACAACAATGACATATACCGTAAGAGTGTTTTACCGTCGAGCGATAGATCTTACGTCAAGGTAAAGTGTTGGTCGTGACACGCTAAATAGAACTCCAAAAGGGTTAATTTATAATAATAAATAATAATAATAATAACAATAATAACAATAATATATGATACTATCCGGTGTTTGTGATTACTTTAATTCACCCTCCCACCCACCCACACCCCTTAGGATCAAATTCGACCTTCATTGTTCGTTAGTAGTGCACCGGTCACATACATAAATTATCATCACACGACGCGTGTGTTATTTGCGATTACTGACCGAGTAGGACGGGCGGACAATGCGTGGATGGTCATCTCGTTTTTTTTTTTAATCTTATATATTTATATGGGACAAAATTGCAAACGATTCGGGTCTAAACAATAATGAATTTAAGACCGCATACACGATAAAATAGTTTGAAAATCAAATTATTTTTAAATCAATTTTATTCTAATTAAAAATATATAATTTAAATTATTTTTATAAGCTAAATTTTACATTAAAATGAGTTGTAAGAAAAATACATATTTTGTGTAACGTTTGTGCGTTTAAAATTTATACATTAAACACGTATGTATTATGTTTTAAGTGTTTCAAACGAAATACTGGAATAAATAAATTAAATAAATACTTGATTTAAACACATAATTGAAAAAAAAATGTTTTAAGTGCATTTTACTATGTCAAACGCCAATTAACGTGTTTCTGCCATATAATAGCAAAACAAAATATAACTATCAATCTAATGGAGATTAATCTTTGGTATTGCCATTAGCTACATTTAACGGTCGATATAAAGCAATTAAAGTTTATGCGATTTATTTCAAAATGCATTAAAAGGTTTGCAAGAAATGCTCGGTAATCTGATAAAACGATCACGTTCACACATGCAACATTATAATTTCATGTTATTATTATAATAAGTAGAGTTCAAATTTAAATTCTCTAAAAATCATCTGAAGATGTCTTTAAAAAAAAAAAAAAAATATCAAATTTATGTTTGCAATTTTTATTTATAAAATTGTTCTTAAAAAATGTTGTAAATTTATTTGAATTAGTGCTTGATTAACAGTTAAAAAAAAAAAAAAATTAATTTAAAAATTGGATTTGATGCTAATTCAACTAAAAACATAAAAATTTAATATGATTTTGAAATAATACTAAGAATCAGTAAAATTTAAATTTCTAAGTCATATAATGTACAGATAAGCAGTAAAACTGACAAAATGACCTAAAAATGCAGATTGAAAATTCACTTTTGAATTATATGTTAAATAAATAGAATCATATACATATGTATATGGAAAACATTGTTAAAAATTGCACTTTGCATTGAAATTCGGGTGCTAATAACCTTTGTCAATGTGCATAACACATCATTGTTCGCCTACGTGTGTAAGTATACAGGATACATTAAAACGATCCTAACAAATCGAGATTAGTTATTTAATTCGTGTTTCGAAATCGAATAGCACATTAAATTACACGTTACGAAAAAAAAACGTTTAAATCGTACTTTTACTTTCATATGAAGTAACGGATAAAATTATTTGTCTTATGAAACTCATTGAATAATACATACGCTTAGCACTGTTATTTTTTTAAAATATAATATTAAAAGAGATTAGGTTTTTATTTTGATTTGTTTTTCGTGGAATTCAGCATTTAAATCGAATATTTTGAGTCGGTTATTCATTTAGTGTTTCTTTTTTTTCGTTTTCTTTCTCTGTAATCTTGTGAAAATATTCTATTGTATTTGATATATTTATAATGCAGACACACACTTAAAGTGCATATTATCGATATGGTTCTGTTCGATGTATATTTCTAACTTTATTTCATCTTACATTATTTGAAATCATAATTCATATACCATGTAATTCGTTGCGAATACATAAAATTAATTATTAAAAAATAAACAGATACAAATAAATCGCTCAATATTCCAAACTGCTTCTTTATCTGATTTTATTTTTTTATTTTTTGTTGCTTCTAAACGTGTGTTCTACTACATTTAAATATTCGACAAAACAACGATACAATTGCTCTTCCACGTTTTTATGAGGAATATTTTTGATCAAACGAAATGTTGTAAAAAAAAAAAAACACACTACATTAGTTCACCGTGACGTGCTTGTACGTTGGGTGACTATACGTTCGGTTTAGCATGGGATTATCCCTTTTTTATCATTATGTCCCGTTGTCTCGACAAACTTTGAACGGGACGCTTTTCATCCCGTTTTTAGAATAGGGTCCCTTTTTAATCCCGTTATTTCCATAAAAATTGTAAACCGAGAGTAAGAGAAAAAAAATCTATGTATAAAACAAAATATCATACGTCAATATTCCAGTAAACATTATACGAAGACGATTATTTATAACTTATGTTTCGATTTATTTGAGTATACAACTAATTTTCGTATTATTATTTTGCATGCATACAACAAAATATAAAATAATACTACGAAAGGTTATAAATAACCTTTTTCGTATAAGGTAGGGGCATATTAAAATTTACTTTTATGGGGCGGGGGGACTTAAATTTTTTCTTTAATTTAGACTCAAAATTTACAAGTAAAATTTTTGGTTATATTTAAATCAGGTGAATCCATAATATTTGAGGCTTTTTTTAATTTAATGCCTGATCCACTTAGAATCGATTTTGTGTAGTTCTTTTTTAACACCTGTCTGTGTTTTGAAAATTACGCTTGTATTTTATTTGATTTTTCTTTAAGTATGGACCCGATAAAAAAGCCCAATTCAGTATTCACAGCCACGTGTAATTTGATTTCGTTATAAAATGATTCACATTAAAAAAATTTGAAATGTGTATCTCGCATAAAATCAATTCCTTAAATACGGATTCAGGGGAGGGCGATCGCCCTTTCGTCCCTCCCCCTAA